TATTCTTGAAACATAGACACCCTAGGGTATTTCAGATGGTAGTATTTTAACACTTTCCCTGCACTAATTGCCCCACCAGTCTTTGTCAAACATTTGGGTAGTCATTTTTTTGTATTATTTTTCACACTCATTGTAATTTAGGCATGGATTACCGGCTCCTGTTATGTGTTACTGCCAAGGAACCCTACAATATGTGTTCAGTAACATCTAAGTACAGTGATACAAACCATGTGCAGGTGTGTCAGGTTCTCTGGGGCTAAAATACCTTATTTGGAGGGTGCGCATTCCAGTTTTTCAACATAGAATTTTCACATCTGGTCATTATGCACCTATGTCCTATTTGGGACATTTTGAAGCTGGCCAATGTAATCTACACCCATCAAACTATATATGTTTTGAAAAGTAGACACCCTAGGGTATTTCAAATGGTGGTATTTTAACACTTTCCATGCACTAATTTTACCACCAGTCTTTGTCAAATGTTTGGGCAGTCATTTTTTGTGTGTTGTTTTTCTCTCACATTGTACGTTAGGCATGGATTCTTTGTTCCTGTTATGTGTTACTGACAAAGAACACCCCAATATGTGTTCAGCAACATCTCCTGCGTACATTGATACAACCTATGCATAGGTTGGTTGGGTTGTTTGTGGGGGGGGGGGTTATTCTGACATATCTTCTTTGCCTATCTTATTTTTGGAGGCCTTTTTACATATTCCAATTTTTTTTCTTGCCGTGAACGTGCATATATTTGAAAAGTTGATACCCGAAGGTATTGTATATGGAGTGTTTTGATGCATTTGATGCAACCATTTTAGCCAACAAAATTAGAGAAAATATGTGGTGGTAATTTTTCAATTTTCATTTTTTTTTTTTCTTTGTGATTTAGGAAAGCCTGTTGGTTATTGCAAGAAAACACTCCAAGTTGTTTTCTGCAAGGCCTCCTGAGTACACTCATGCCCCCATGCTTAGGTTTAACTTGATCATAAAAATAGTCTAGCGCAGTAAAAGTAAAAAAAAACAAACTCAGGAACAGTAAACGTAACCAAAAAAAAAAACTGAACGGCAAATGTAAGAAGAAAATTTAAAAACGGACCAGTGTGTGATATCGCTTGAAGCAGTCCCCAAGGAAGAGTCCAGGCTGTCCAGGGCAATCAGGACAGTAAAAGACTGTTTCCTTTCTCTGCCCCTCTTGAAACAGACTCTGCAGATTTTTTTGAGGATTCTGCTTTGCCAGGGGGATTTTAAAAATAAAGTGGGTAGCCCCAACTATGCTCTCTTCCATCACCGCCCGGGTGCATCTTGGTACAAAATTCACAAACTGATCTGGAGCTGAAACTGTAAAACAGTCAGTTTCATTCCGGGGTTTGCTTTTTTGAACAACAAAAAAGCGTTGTGGGTTGCAATCTTCGTTAAGTAATTTGCAACCTTTTTGTACCAGGCAATTGTCTTCCGTATAATTAGGTAGGGCTGCAGCAGCTGACCTGCCAGATCAACCCCACCCATTTGCCGGTTATAGGCCTTGATGAACACTGGCTTCCTTGTGCTCTCAGCTCTGCCATGTACAGAGGCCTCCACAGTCCTCTCAGCATGGATGGTGGTAAGAAGGTACACATCCTTCTTGTCTCTGTACTTCACTGCCAACAGCTCCTCTTGGCGCAGAGCTGAGGTCTCCACCCTTCGTAGCTGAGTGCGTGCAAGTTGTCCCGGGAAACCTGTGTTGTTCTTTTTGATTGTGCCACAAGCTACTGTATCAAAACAGTACAGTAGCTTGAACAAAGGGACACTTTTATAAAAATTGTTGGTATACAAGTGGTACCCTTTGTTCATCAGGGGGAATATCGGGTCCCAGACAATCTTGCCACTGGTTCCAATATGTTCTGGGCAACCTGGTGGTGGCTATCCTTTCCCTTGTACACCCGGAAGGCCTGAGTATACCCAGTCTCGCTATCACAGAGCTTATACACCTTTACACCAATTCTAGAGCGCTTGGAAAGAATATACTGCTTGAATCCCCAGCCTTCCCTTAAACTTCATCAGGGATTCATCCATGCATATATTCCTTCCAGGTGTATAGGCATCTGCAAACCTGGCAGCGAAATGGGTAATCAGGGGGTGGATTTTATACAGCCTGTTAAACTGGGGATGCTCCATAGGGGTCCATAGGCTGTTGTCGCTGAAGTGCATGAAATGTAGAATAATTTCATACCTCTTCCTCGACATAGACTGGGAGTTAATGGGGGTAGAGCAGATGGGGCTACTGCTCCAGTAGGAGCGGATAGAGGGATTCCTTATGATGCCCATCAGCAAAGTCAATGCCCAGAATTTTTTAAATTCTGGCACATCGATGGGGGCCCATTGCTGCTTTGCCAAAAAAGAGTCAGGCTTTGAAGCACAGAACTGATGGGCATATAAATTAGTTTGTGCAACAATGTTCCCCAATACATCATCGCCCAGAAACACCTCCATAAACTGTTGGGGGGTAAATCCTGCGACATCCACATTGATGCCAGGATTTGCGGGAAGGGTTGGGATATCTTGCCTCTGGAGATGAGGCGCTACCCACTCCTCAGCAGCACTGCCAGCTGGAGCAGCACATCTCCTTTTTGCAGGGGGCCTAGCAGCCACAGATACATCACTAGATACATCACTAGCAGCAGACACTGTATTTGGTGATGTATCTGAGCACTTGGCAAGGTCGGGGTCAGACATAAATGTGTCAGACTCTAATGCAAGGATGGCATATGCCTCCTCAGTGCTATACAACCTCTGTGACATGATCACAATCACTTTATTTAGTGATTTGTCACGAAAAAAAAATGAACCTCTATTAAAATGCAAAGACAGCAAAAAAGTGCTGGTGTGCAAGAGCCAGTGATTTATAGTGATCACTGGCAAGATAGGGGTTAATGGCTCTGAAATGAGCCTTTGGGTCTCACAATTTTACAAATCGCTACCTATAACTACCTACCTAAACACAGATCTCTCTATCTCACTAAAACACAAGTGAAGAGAGGGAGGGAGATCCACACTGATCAGAGTCAATATTTACTAATCTTGACCTGACCAGACAAATGGAGATCATAGTAATAATAAATATTATTATAGGGGCAGGCTCTGATTGGATGACCTTAGCCTGCCTCTATGATGAGGCAGGCTAGGGCCACCCCCAGAAGTCCCATAATGCACTGCCTTTAGAAAGGCAAGGCCATATTGGAAGCCACATGGGGGGGTGAGAGATAAATACATCTATTTTATTCGTTTTTTTATTGATTTTATTGGTTTTCTAAAATTTTATTTAAGTCTTCATTGAGTGTCTCGACCCCTCGAGGCACTCAGCACATCCGCAGCCTGCCCGATGTCTTCCGATGCTCTGCTACAATGCCGGCATCCCGGGAGTAATCGTTCGGTGGCCCGGCAGTCAAGAGAGATATTGCAGGATGCCTCGACATCGAGGCATTGCTGCAATACCCTTAAATCGTCTGGAAGCGAGCACGATTGCTTCCTGCGCTCATTTTAGTTTTTTGTCCGACTACCTAGTACGTCCGCGGTCCTTAAGGGGTTAAAGACACACTACAGAGATATTGGACTAGCACTCATATATAACAGAGCTAAAGACCAGCTCTGAGTAAAGCGCATACAGCGATCTAATCCCTACTGATGGATATGAAGCTCTAAGGGTCAATCTCACAGCATTAAGATGACTATACGGAAATAAAACATAGAAGCAAACAATAATGTTAGAACCAATAAACAGTAAAATAAATAGTACCGTATATACTCGAGTATAAGTCGAGTTTTTCAGCACATTTTTTGTGCTGAAAAACCCCCACTCGACTTATACTCGAGTTAATGTCTGTATTATGGCAATTTACATTGCCATAATACAGACAAGGACCGCCGGGCTCATTACAAGCCCGACGGTCCTGTTGGGGGCTGACAGTGAGAGGTTACTTACCTTCCTGCAGCTCCTGTCAGCTCCCTTCTCCTCCGTGCAGCTCTTCTGACAGCTCCCACTGGAAGTCTCGCGAGAGCCGCGGGGTCACCTGGCAAGCTAACAAGCAGGGAGGGGGGACGAAAATTAAATAATAAAAAATATACAATAAAAAATAATAAAATAAAAAGCTTAAAATATTAAAATAAAATAAAAAACGTAAAATACTAAAATAAAATAATAAAATAAAAAAATTAAAATATTAAAATAAAAAATGTATAATAAAAATGCCCTCCTCCCACCCAGTTCACACACACACACACACACTCCTACAAACACAGACTCTGCATTAAATACACACACACTCATACAAACAATCTGCATTCTACACACACACTCATACAAACACACACACACTCTGCATTATATACACACAGAGTGTGTGTGTGTTTATTTTATTTTAATATTTTAAGCTTTTTATTTTATTATTTTTTATTGTATATTTTTTATTATTTAATTTAATTTTCGTCCCCCCTCCCTGCTTGTTAGCTTGCCAGGGAGGGGGGCTCTCACTCCCTGGTGGTCCAGTGTATGGGCTGTGTAGGAGGGGGGGCTGACAGTGAGAGGTTACTTACCTTCCTGCAGCTCCTGTCAGCTCCCTTCTCCTCCGTGCAGCTCCTCTGTCAGCTCCCACTGGAAGTCAGAGTGTGTGTGTATATAATGCAGAGTGTGTGTGTGTTTGTATGAGTGTGCGTGTGTATATAATTCTAAAAATCACAGAATGTCATAGCCCCAAGTTTTACCCTCGACTTATCCACGAGGCATAGCATATTTAACAATTGTTGGTCACAAAACTGCCCTCGACTTATACATGAGATCGACTTATACACTAGTATATACGGTAGTTTATTCACATTTAATAGGACAGTGGACACTGCTCAAGTATAAGTGCTTGGGTTGTATGATCCGCACCAGTGTACTAAATTGTCAAACACACTGGGAGGGTGAATGCCAAATATACTTTAATGTTAAAAACAATTATGTTAAAACACACACTGTTTTTCACCAGAGCCTACACAAAAAGCCTTTCTGTCGCGTTTTAATGCACCCTTTATCGCACCCTGTTGCAATTGAGATGCTATCAGGGAAGATTGGTACTGGTAGTTCCACTGTGGCCAGCTCTGCCTTGGTTACCATCACATCTGGAAATGCTCATCAATTTGCATCACCTTTTGGCTCTCTCTTGATCGATCCAGATGGGAATACTTACTTGTTTATACATCAGGGTCTTCTCAAGTTCGTAGCATGTTTGATTTTAGGGAACACTGGACTCTTGAGGGCGTTCTACAATCAACTCTCCAGCTCCTCATGGGAGCATGGGCACCTGGAACACCCAGCTCCTATTCCTATGCATGGACCAAATCGGTTAATTGGTGCATGGAACAATGTCTGGATCCCTTATCGACTCCTTTGAATTCTATCCTTCAGTTCCTTATTTCTTTGTTTTGATACTGTATGGTCAATATTTTTTGGTCAGTGATCTCAGCTGGACATCTTGGTTTGCACTTACTGTGAGGTATTCGTTTCCCTAGACCAGGCTTCCCAAAACTACGGCCCTCCAGATGTTGCTGAACTACAACTCCCATGATTCTCAGTATATCTATTTAATTTATAGAATCATGGGAGTTGTAGTTCAGCAACATCTGGAGGGCCGTAGTTGATCTGGAGGGCCGGAGTTTGGGGAAGTTTGCCCTAGACCTTCCAGACTGTACTTTACAGGATGTCAATGTGTTTCTCTCCTTTGTTGATGCCTGGCTGGATAATCAGGACCTCTCATTGAAACTAATCTCTGATAAACTGGCTATGCTCGTTTGCCTTGTCTCTTGTAATAGAGTATCTGACGTCCATGCCTTGGACGTTGATGCACGCTCATATACTCCGACTGAGGTAACATTTGATATTTCTCTGCAACTCTTGTCCAAATCTATTTCCTATCCTTAATTTTCTGGTCACCCTAAGCTTTTCCCAGTATATTGCCTAAAAGAATATGAAACTTGTACAGCTCCACTTTGGCAGCCATGTTGTCCTTTATTTATTGTGATTGGCAGATCTGATTTCAGTATTCACTTCGATATTAGCTCATTGTATTAAATGGATCATGTCTCTCATGGGCACTGATACATCTGTCCTCTCTGGATTCTGTAACGGGTGCTATGGAATTCAAAGCTTCTTTTGTGGGTTGCCATTTAGAAGACATTTTTAAGGTGGTCGATTGGCCATCGGAGTCCATATTTTGTGATTTCTACTTTTGCTTGATTTTGTCATTTTTTGGCACATGTGGTATCTTTGAACCAGCCGAATATGAGCCTCTGTGTCTTAATAAAATTACCAGATTTTACTAATTGCATGGCATAGAGTCATGATTTTATTAATGACATGGAGGCCAGTATTATTCCCTCACACCTTCCAGTGGTGGTGTTTGTTTAAAACTCCCATATCCTTTCCCTATGACTGTTGGTAAGTTCTTTCTTCAGAACGGTAGTTTATTGTCTGCAATTATCACTCTCTGATTTATGGAAATTTGTTTGTTTATTCAAATATTTTCTATAAATTGTAATGTTCATTTAGTAATGTATACTGCTGCTTAGTTTGCAGTACTATAGACTGATGTTGTTTGTATGGCATATTACTCAATCTTATGATATATTTTGTTCTCATTCCAGCTTGGTAATTTAGTTGGATATCATTATCCATGGTGGACCGCTTACATGTTCCAGTGGCTTTATTGGCCATTTTCCTTACAATTTCTGGTAAATAGTATGGTTTATTTCAACTTTAAGTTTGAATTGGTTACTTCGTGTCACATCCTGTTCCTCACTGCGGATCATTCTGGCAATGGCTTCTAGTATCCAGTACTCTTTTTGCTGTCCTTGCTTGGTTTTTCTAGTTTTCTGGTTTTCTTTGTTGCTGGGTTCATTCTTATAGTCTGTCCATGGATTTCCCAGTCTCTTGGATTCACTTAAATGTTTGTTTTATGTTGCCACACCCGTTTGTTTTCCACTTTCCTTTTGTTTCAGTTTGGACCTGCAGCAGTGTTTCAAGTCTCTGCCCTTTCTTGCAGGTAAGTGCTATTGTGGTATAGTGTGGTTGTTTTAGCATACATTAGGCAGTGTAGGACCTGCCAGATATGGGGTACATTGGCGTTGTTGGCAGGCTTCTGCAATGTATGATCATATAATGTAACTAAATCCCCATACTTTTCATAATTAGTGCTTAGCTATGTTTCCTCTTGTTTTACCTTGTATCTCTTGTCTTGTAATCCCAGTCCATGTACAGTCCTGTTCAGTCATGCCCATGTTATGTTCTTGTTTTCCTCATGTCTTGTGTACATGGTTTTTTAGGTTATGTTTTCTGTCCTGTTCTGGGTTCTCCTAGTTTTGTCTTGTTTTCATGTATGGTGCCTATCTCTAGTCTTGCCCTGTTCTCCTAGTTCTGTCTTGTTTTCATGCATGGTGCCTTGCTCTCCTAGTCTTGCCTTGCTTCAGTACTGGATACATCCCTGCTGCAGAGCCTCCCTATTCAGTTTCTGGGAGGTCTGCTTATTTCCTAGCTCCTAGTTCCTGGGATCCGCATAAACTGAATCAGGGTTCTGGTATGTGGCTGCACAAACGCTGGTGCTCAACACCAGAGGGCGTGCAGTTGCCCTGCACCAGACCCTGCTAATCCACCTCCACACTGTGACTCCTACTCTGAACATCAGGCATACATGGGTCCCGGGCACCGGACCGCCATCCTGACACTTTGGGAGTCACGAAAGAGGATGTGATGTCAGAATATTAATCTTTTCTGCCTCATGCAGCACCTTTATTTGGGGTCCCTTGTTTCTAGGCACATTATATTTTAATTCTGTTTTGTTTATTATATTGTGGTGGTTTTTTTTTTCCTCCAAAAATGTTTTCTTTGATGCTGAGAGAATTAAAAAAAGAGTGCAACATAATACTCACCCAGGTGTCATTAATAAAATCATGACTTTACATCATGTGATTAGTAAGATCTGGTAGTTAACACACATGTACCCACATATCCACAAAAATTCTTCCCCTTACATACACATACTCAAACTCATGGTTGGCCCATGCAGTAGATGAACCCAGGCTAGGTTTCCCAGGGCAACACCGTCCTGAGGGCACATCAGGGTCATGCTCAGGCTCAAAATATCTTTATGACTGAGCCTGCACACTCTCACTGTTAGGAGCTTATGGTCTTCATTTCCATTTCCAAAAGAGAAAAGAGGGTTTCACTCAATCATAAAAATCACAGGGTGCTGACTGAGTATGGATCAGCATACCCCATAACACAGGTATCAAAGAACAAATCTCAAGCACTCACTATGATAAGTTAAGCAGGTTTATTGGACACCGCAGAGTTTTGACCTGTACCCAGGTCTTTATCCATCACCATTTCCATCACTTTAAGCGCTCCCTTGCAGTCCCAGACTTAAAAGAATCTTCAATTAACATCAGGAAGCAGGGCTGCCATCAGAAATTGTGGGACCCCTGACACAGCTCAAGGTCTGGGCTCCCTGGTGCCTGCACCCGAGTCCGCCCAAAGTGCTGCAGCCCCCACACCCCCTCCCCCCCCCGAGTCCGCCCACAGGAATGCAGTGTCTGCAGGGCCGGTGCAAGGATTTTTTAGCCGCCCTAGGCAAAAGTAAAGTTTGCCTCCCCCCCATGTGACATCACAATGCCCCACCCATATGATCTGCCATGTTAACTAACACCAGTGCTGCAGTGCCGCCGTGTTTACCTTAAAAGGCCTGCAGGGACAGGCTAGACACCAGAACCACTACATTAAGCTGCAGTGGTTCTGGGGACTATAGTGTCCCTTTAATGTGAGGTAAATTAGAGATTAGTGCCACAAATAATATACTAGATTGCCTACTTACAACCAGATGAGGATGATGATGGGATCTGGCTCCACTGGTCTGGTGTAGAACAGGCTCTCTGGAGGCGGTTTGTAACTGTGGTCACAAAAATCAATGTTCTGGGATCAATGGGAAGCAGCTCCATTTTTTTTGAGGGCCCTTTACACAGCTCAATGTCTGGGTCCCAGGATCCACCTCCATGTTCCACCAATGAGTTTGTTCACAGGGGGTGGAGTGTGTGTGGGGGGGATGTCCTGATGTGTGTAAGGAATGCATTGTGTGAATCTGTGTTTGTATGTGTAAGGGCTGCAAGGTGAGTTTGTGTATGTATGGGATGCAGTGTGTGCATCTGTAAGGGATGCACTGAGTGTGTGTAAGGGGTGCATTGTGTGTTGCTATGTGTAAGGGATGCATTGCTTGTGTATGTGTGTCTGTGTGTAATGCATTGTTTTTCTCCCCCCCTCAAATTTCCTTCCTCTCCCCCCTCCCTCAAATTTCCTTCCTCTCCCCTCCTCCCTCAAAATTTCCTTCCTCTCCCTCAAAATTTCCTTCCTCTCCCCCCTCCCTTAAATTTCCTTCCCTCCCCTCAAATTTCCTTCCTCCTCCCCTCACCTCCCTTCCTCCCTCAAATTTCCTTCCCTCCCCTCACCTCTCCTTCCTCCCCTCTTCCCCCACCTCCCTTCCCATCCACCCTCCTTTCCTCCCTCCCTCCCTTCCTAAATTTCTTTCTCCCTCCCTCCCCTTCCCAATGTTCTATTTCCCCTCAAATCCTCTCTCTCCCCTCCTCCCCTTAAATTTATTTCTCCCCTCCCTCCCTTCCAAATTTATTTCCTCACTCAAATTTCCTCCCTCCCTTCCCTTAAATTTATTTCCTCCTCCCCTCCCTCTGACAGCCGGCCGGCGCGCGAGGGAGCACTCTCCTCTGAGTGCTTCCTCTTCAGCTCCCTCGCGCACCGCGTACTAATGCCGGCGCTGGAAGATGACGTCATCTTCCGGCTCCGGCATCAGTACGGTGCGCGAGTGAGCTGAAGAGGAAGCACTCAGAGGAGACTGCTCCCTCGCGCGCCGGCTGGCTGTCAGGGCCAGCCTCTGGGGGGCCCTGAGGTGACCGGCTGCTGGGCCCCCCAGGAGAAGAGGCTGGCCCAGTGGGTATATACCGGGGTCGCAGGGCCCCCTGCGACCCGGTATGTACCCACTGAATGTGGGGCCCGGACGACCTTAGCAATCCGGGCCCCCCAGGACCGCCGGGCCCATGACAACCGTTGCGGTTGTCATGCCCTGATGGCGGCCCTGCCAGGAAGTACTCACCACTGATTACGAATATCTATATAAACAGTGGCTATTCAAGTGGAGACCGCACTTTTGATGAAACCTCAAGGAGAAACATATAAATTGTGGTTATATAGCCTATTTGGATTTTATTTTATAGTTTAAAAAAAAGTTTTATTGTTTTGTCTGTTGTTTTTTTATTATTGCAATAAAGTTAATCCTTTTAAATTTAAAGGGACACTATATAGTCAACAGAACAACTACATCTTATTGTATTTGTTCTGGTGAGTATAATCATTCCCTTTACTGCAGTAAACACTGTCCTTTCAGATATAATGCAGTGTTTACATTACAGCTTAGTGATAACTCCACTGACCACTCCTCAGATAGCTACAAGAAGTGCTTCCTGGGGCAGTGCTGCACACTGCGCAATACTGACATTCAGTGTTTCCGCCCTCTGCATAGAAACACTGAACTTTCCATATAGAGATGAATTGATTCAATGCATCTCTATGA